TTTTGCATGGGCTTCACTTACTAGAGCTCATGCAGCTTTTTAGGTTGTCTGTGGACTGCTGTGTTGATACCTACTTGAACTTAATTTGTAGTCAGCATGCACACACAGATTTGAGTTTCATATATAGAAGTGTAATAACTTTCACGGTGTGAAAAGCACATAACTCGTAGCTCTCTACCAAGTCGACTAGAGCCCGCTTTAGTTTTGCTGATTGCATTTGCATCGCTGCAGAAATGCGGAGAGTTGGATGTGTTGGGCAAATTTTCCACACTGTGGATATGTAATGTTTATGGCTGCAAATCAGGACAGACTTCTATTTGGAGCAGCTCATTAGGGCTTCAGTGACCCAGGGTGTGATTTATGCTGTAACATCTTGGAGTCCAGCGAAACTGGGAGAGGAGGAAGAGGGAGCAATTCTAGGAAAGGCATGTTTATCTAATATCTAATACACGAGTGATGTGGAGGATTGAACTAGTGGTAATAGTGTGGATGATTTCCAAGTGCTTATAACATGTGTTGGCTCTCAGGATATATGGTTTGAGGCAGTTGGAAATTCATTGTGCATTTCTATCTATAAAAAGCCCACAATAGGAGGGACTGCTGCTTTGTTAACCACTAGGAAGCAGCTGAAAGATGTCTCTGTACTAAAGCGTACTATTCATACTTCATTTGTGGCATTTTCATACAGACTTCAACTTTCAGACACGCAGAAGGCAAACATCCAGCTCTGTCCATTTCACTGCTGTCCCAAACTTAAACATAATGTGTGTGCGTGCGTGCGCTGGCTTTGTGTGTTTTCTGTTAAATGTCATCATTCCCTAACCCAGAGACTGGAGTCGGCTCAGATTGCGTAACAGCCCTCAGTCAACCCTCCAGCTCTTGCCTGCATGTTGCGCGCAGGCCCAAAACAGGCCGGGGGCGTTGCCAACAGTGTGGCACGGACGCCGTGTCCATGGCTGTGAGCCATGTGTGGACAGCAGACAGTTGAGGGGGAGTTCTGGAGGATTTCCCAGTGTGCTTCTGAGTTAAGCGTCTAGCCTTGAATGGTGAGAAACTTAAGGTTAAAGTTGTCTCTGTGAACAAAACATGCCACAGTACATCTGTCGTTACATCATGACGATCACACTTGTTGCGTATATATGATAACATTTTCCCACCTTTGTGTGAAGGTGGGATTTGGCAAGTGTGAAAAATATGTTAAAATACTAATGTGGTCTGTGTAAGGATTAGGCATGGCGCTTTTCTTTGACTAGTTTCAGTTCACAACTCACTGTATGCTAGTCCTTTTTTATATCAGTGATAAGCCCTTGGACAGCTAGTAACATGGTTGAAACGGAGAATCCACTTTACAGTTGTATGCCATCAAAAAGAGGGATCTCATTGATTGTTCTGAATGTATGCATCCACGGCTGAACGTGAAGCTGTTGTAATGTCCGGCCCAGACTAAAGGAAATCTTGCTTTGAAGTGTTAACATTTACTGCTGTTTTCAAAAAGTGAGTACAACACAGCCCCGAACTTTAGAAGGTCGAGGTATTTCTTGTCTCTGTCCTACAGAACATTTGGTCAATTGTTTTTATTGTCAATATATGGCGACACATTTAAGCAGCCGACTGTCAGCCAGTGGTATCATTCTTTTAATGTAATGTGATTTCAGAGTTCGGTCACAGCGATGATCAGTGAAATGTCCTGAGGATATAAGCTCGGCTGTTTCAATTGGCCCCTCAGTTTGGTCTAATAAGAGGATGTGGGTATGTGGCTGTATGGTGTACACAGTTTCCCACATATAAGAGCTCAATGTGTTTTTTTTTGTTTGTTTGTTTGTTTTTTTGGGTGTGAAAAGTGTGAATCCACACCACAAGGCTCAGGCCTTTTGGAGGTCATTTGATTGTCGGGTACTCTGTGACTAGGGCTGTCCAAAAAAACAAACTATTCTAATCAACAGTAAAAATTACTGTGGGATTAGATATTCATTCAGTGCTGTCTTTTCATGAGTGTTGCCTATTTTTGTGGGTGATACTATTTGAAGTTCTGGCATCATGACAGCATCGTTTGTGACTAGAAAAGATAAAGGACCGGTATCAGGAGCTGCCGACCTGCGGGTGGTACTCCTCATTCAGCAGTGATGATGGTGATCTTTGCGATGGATGTAAAAGTTAAAAACATGAAATGCTAAGATGAGTTTCCAAAAATACCTGCTCGGGTAAATTCTCTGGGGCAACATAGACCTAATCACATATAAGATGTAGCTAAAAGGTGTGCCAGTATAGCATGGAAGTGACTATACAGCAGTCTGCACTGGTCTGTCAGGAATGGATGTGCTTTTAGCAAGTAAATTGTTAGTGATTCTCATTAGTTTAACTCTCAGAACATTTATAGTTTGTTTTCTATTGACGAGCTTCATTAGTCTTTGCAAAAAATAAACCGTTTGTTTTCGTTTTCATTTTGCTTCTAAACATTTTAAATTATAGATTAATGATCCATGAATCGACACAATCACACTCCCGTTTGTCTGCCTGGTATATCGTGTTTTTGTCTGTTGAGTTTGGAAGTCTCAAATGTTCAGGCGAGCCTGTGTTGTGGCAGATTGCACATGGGACATCAGTGTATGATATTAGACACAAAGCACATCTCTCTGATGTAGAGAAGAATAGAAGCGTCAATATGTATGCTCGGAGATGTCAGTGCTCTCTTATTCCTGGGTCTCACAGAGGATTCACTGATTGTTCGCTTTCTCGGTTCTTGGTTTTTCATGTGTCATGTAGTTCTTTCATTCCTTTCTTCCCCTCGTTCTACCCCCACT